GGTTGAGGTGAGAGGATCCCTTGAGCCCAGAAGGTTGAGGCTGCAGTGAGCCATAATTGTACGACTACACTCCAGCCTGGGGAACAGAGCAAGACCCTGTTTCATTTAAAAAAAAAAAAAAAAAAGCCAACAGTGGTGGCTCATGCCTGTAATTCCAGCACTTTGGGAGGCCAAGTTGGGTAGATCACCTGAGGTCAGGGGTTCGAGACCAGGCTGACCAATATGGTAAACCCCATCTTCACTAAAAATACAAAAGTTGGCCAGGTGTGGTGGCGGGTGCCTGTAATCCCAGTTACTTGGGAGCTGAGACAGGAGAATCGCTTGTACCCAGGAGGCAGAGCTTGCAGTAAGCCAAGATCGTGCCACTGTACTCTAGGCCTGGGTGACAGAGTGAGACACCATCTCAAAAAAAAACCACACACACACACAAAACTCAGCCAACATTGGCTCCCCTTTATTTTCAGTGATAAGAAAAACCATGACTTGCAGAAGTTGTGAGAATAAGGATTGTAGTTAGCTCAGTAACTCCAAAAGTGACTCGAGTTTGAAAGGCCAAGAGAGACTAATTACCTCTGCTGATGGCTTTCCGCTTGTAAAAGAGGTCAAAGATGTAGCGGGTTTTCTGGTGGTGGATCCTGAAGATGGGCCACAGAGATTCCACTTTCCTTTTTCCCTCATGCGGTTCTGTTTCAGCTGGGGAGAAACAAAGTGTGTGTTTGGGGGAACAGGGTCGGTCTGCGCAGGATTTTCTTTTTGTAAATAACTAGTGATAATGAATAAATACCACTTTATACCCACTAGGATAGCTATAATCAAAACTATGGCACAATAACAAGTGTTGGCAAGGAAGTGGAGAAATTGGAAGTCTCCTACCTTCCTGGTTGGAATGTAAAATGGTGGAACCACTGCAGAAAAGAGTTAGGTGGCTCCTCAAGAAGTTAAACAGGGCTGGCCGGACTTGGTGGCTCACACCTGTAATCCCAGCACTTTGGGAGGCTGAGATGGGCAGATCACTTGAGGTCAGGAGTCTGAGACCAGCCTGGTCAACATGGTGAAACCCCATCTCTACTAAAAATACAAAAGAATTAGCAGGGTATGATGGTGCGTGCCTGTAATCCCATCTACTTGGGAGGCTGAGGTGGGAGAATCGTTTGAACCCTGAGGGGGAGGATGCGGTATCAAAAAAAAAAAAAACAAAACAGGGAATGAAGTTAGGTACTGATGTATTCTACAACACAGATGAACCTTGAAACATAAAATTGACTGTGGCAATGGTCGCACAACTTTGTGAATATACTAAAAACCCCTTAATTGGATAATTTAACAGGATGACTTTCATAGTATATGATTAGTATCTCAATAAAGCTGTTATTTAATAAAAATAAGCCATTGGGCATTTTGGGAGGCCAAGGTCAGCAGATCATGAGGTCAGGAGATCGAGATCAGCCTGACCAACATGGTGAAACCCCATCACTACTAAAAATTTAAAAATTAGCCAGGCGTGGTAGTGCACGCTTGTAATCCCAGTTTCTCAGGAGGCTGAGGCAGGAGAATTGCCTGAACTCGGGAGGTGGAGGTTGCAACGAGCAGAGATCACACCACTGCACTCCAGCCTAGACAACAGTGTGAGATTTCATCTCAAAAAAAATAAATAAATAAATAAAAAGTAAGCTAAGTAATTTAAACATACTTGTTTTAAATTAAAAATGTCTATTTTTGGATCCTTTTGTAATTCATGAGTGTGATGATTGGGTGTTCACATCCATGTGTGAGACATGCCACTCTCAAACTTTGTCACAATGTTGGCACATTACCTGTGTGACAAGAAAAAGAGTCTTTTTAATTACAGAATTAGAAAACATAGATTTTTAAAAAGATCATTCAATGGTAACTTCTGTTAAAAGGTTAGTCCCGGCTGGGCACGGTGGCTCACGCCTGTAATCCCAGCACTTTGGGAGGCCAAGGTGGATGGATCACTTGAGGTCAGGAGTTCGAGAACAGCCTGGCCAACATGGCGAAACACTGTCTCTACTAAAAATACAAAAATTATCTGGGCATGGTGGCACATGCCTATAATCCCAGTTACTCAGGAGGCTGAGGCACGAGAAGTGCTTGAACCCAGGAAGCAGAGGTTGCAGTGAGCTGAGATTATGCCACTGCACTCCAGCCTGGATAACAGATGACCCTGTCTCAAAAAAAAAAAAAAAAAAAAAAAAAGCCAAAAAACCAACCTTGGTCCCTATGCTTTCAGATCTAGTTCTACAGCATAGTAATTTCTCAAGATAATTCTAGGCCCACAGATGGGCATCCTAATCATCCTGAAGGCACCTCTAATTTCATCTCCCAGCCAAAGTCCTTTAGGGCTGAGGAAAAGCCAAATAAACTAGACCAGTCTACAGGTTCTCAGCGAAGTGGCCGCAGGAGAAGCTGACCCTTCAACACATGCAGGATCAGGTGGCACTCATACTCGCCACAAGGCAGTTCTCTCTTAGCAATCAGAAGTTCATCTTTGTCTATGACCTCCTCAGTTTTTAGGGAAGAACAGACGGGCGAGGAGTGGTCAAGAAGACTATGCCTCCCTGTCTCCAGCTTTTAAGCCATTCAATTACCTAGGTATTACAATTCAGCTCAACAAACAGAATGCTGTGATCCAAGCAGAAAAGCAGGAAGTAAAGATTCAGCAGGTGCACATGTAAGACGTGACTTGCTCCTCCTTGGCCTCTGCCATGATTGTGAGGCCTCTCCAGTCGCGTGGAACGGAAAGTCCATTAAATCTCGTTCTTTTGTAAATTGCTTAGTCTCAGGTATGTCTATCAGTAGCATGAAAACAGACTAACACACCCCCATCTCCATGAAAAATTAGCCAAGCGCAGGCCGGGGGCAGTGGCTCACTCCTGTAATCCCAGCACTTTGGGAGGCCGAGGTGGGTGGATCACGAGGTCAGGAGATAGAGACCATCCTGGCTTAGACAGTGAAACCCCGTCTCTACTAAAAAACTAAAAATACAAAAAATTAGCCAGGCATGGTGGCGGGCGCCTGTAGTCCCAGCTACTCAGGAGGGTGAGGCAGGAGAAAGGCATGAACCTGGGAGGCGGAGCTTGCAATGAGCTGAGATCGTGCCACTGCACTCCAGCCTGGGTGACAGAGCGAGACTCCGTCTCAAAAAAAAGAAAAATTAGCCAAGCGCAGCAGTGGATGCCTGTAGTCCCAGCTGCTTGGAAGGCTGAGGTGGGTGGATCACCTGAACCTGGGAGGTGGAGGCTTCAGTGAGCTGTGACTGAACCACTGCACTCCAGCCTGGGCAACAAGGTGAGACCATCTCAAAACAAAAACAAAAAGAAGAAAAACAGAACAAAGAATACTTTTTTCTGGAGGTAAAGAATATCTAAACACAAAGTAAGGTTCCTCCTCCCCTCAAAAGTCACCCTTTAGAAAATGAAGTTAATTTACTTTCAAAGACTTGCAAAATCTTTTCTATTCCTGCACGCTCCCATTTCCTTTATTTTGATAAAGAGCTGTTTGGGGAAGAAATCTCTCAGCCCAGAATGACCATGATTACTGCAACAGGCCCATCCAAATCTAAATCGCAAAGCAAGTTCTGAGTATTTAATAGAAGGTATCTGGTAACAACAGTTTTTTTAAGAAGGGGCAAAGTAATTTAACACTGCTTTAATTTAGTAATTACTGCTGGACAAACGACCTCATAATAACCATGATTAGGTTAGTTACAAGCAAGCATTTCAAAAGTTACTTTAAAAAGTAACTTCAGCCAGGTGTAGTGGCTCATACCTGTAATCCCATCACTTTGGGAGGCCAAGGTGGGTGGATCACTTGAGGCCAGGAGTTGGAGACCAGCCTGGCCAACATGGAGAAACCCCATCTCTACTAAAAAAACAAAAATTAGCCGGGCGTGGTGGCGCGTGCCTGTAATCCAAACTACTCGAGAGGCTGAGGCAGGAGAATTGCTTGAACACGGGAGGCAGAGATTGCAGTGAGCCGAGATCACGCCACTGCACTGCAGCCTGGAAGACAGAGCAAGACTCCATCTCAAAAAAAAAAGTAAATTGGTTAAGTAGTCACACTGTGATCATTTAAGGCAAACAGATGCTTGTGGCTTCAGATAAAATTGCCAATTTCCAAAGACAGCATAAGACATGGGTTCACAAATCTGGTTCACATGCCATTTACACGGAACTGACAGAAAACAGATGCTGCAAAGACTAATCAATGAGACTGAAAAGGAATAGCACTTCCAAGTAAATATATTTTGTATGATTTTAAATATACATCTAACCAAAATAGTAAATAACTATAGGTAGACTATTTGATCTATATTTCATAACCTTTTATATTCAAATTGGAAAAAAAAAAAAAAAGGCTTTTTGAGGACCTTTTCATTAACGTTATCTTATTTTTGGGCACTTTCCATGAGTTCATAAGCAAACACAACAGCTCAGTGTTAGTAGACCACCCTCTTTTTATATTTGCATTTATGCGTGTCCCCTGGGGGCATCTAAGCCTTTGACCCTTGGACCCAGCCCACCCAGAGAGGAACTCCCCTACTCACCTTCTCTCATCTTTTGATCTAATTCATCCAGCGTTGGCTCAATCAACTCCCAGCCATCTGGGGGTGCTTTCCGGCTTCTTTTGACTTTAGGCATTTTCCTTCCACCGGATAATTTGCAAAGATCTAGGGGGAAAAAATGAATTGGTTTCTGAGTCTCAAATCGCCAAAGGCCTTTGTCAGTCATTATTTTAGCACAGGCTGACTTCCTTGAGTCTGCACAAGGTCACAGCTATGGGACAGGGCTCAGCACCCAGACTGTGTTCAAATCCTGGCTCTGCTACTTACCCGCTGTGATCTTCAGAAAGGTACTTAACCTTCCTAAGTCTCTGTTTCCTCATCTGTAAAATGGGGATAATGGAAGCTACCTTATGTGGTCATTGCAAAGACTTCATTATAATTGTATCTATCATGCCTGGTGGATAATGTATGCCTAAGAAACATTTGCTGTTGTCATTAGCTAACTTCAGCTACAAGCTTAACCCTATACTGGATGTTGGGAACACAGAACAAATAGTTAAGGCACAGCCTCTGCCCCTTAAAAGGTGACATTTTAGCAAAAAGACAGACAAGAGAAAAAGCAATTACAATAGAGTATAAGGAGGGCTGTGACTCAGGGAGCCATGGGGGTGAGTATTTAAAAAGGCAAAGATGGAAGGCCAGGCGCGGTGGCTCATGCCTGTAATTCTGGTCTTGGCCAGCACTTTGGGAGGCTGAAGTGGGAGGTTCGCTTGAGCCCAGGAATTTGAGATCAGCCTGAGCAATGAGGTGAAACACTGTCTCTACAAAA